TTAAGTCGGGCTGCTTGAAAGCCGCTTTAAAGTGACTGTCAGCTCTGGCGTGTAAATATGGCCACTTTTAACATTGTTTATAATATTTTGGTGAAGCCACTTGAGTGTCACTGCATGAAGTTGGCCCCCGTGAATATGCGAAAACAATGAATTGTCTTTCGCCTGAGGTGAAGCTTATTTGATGTATAATTTAAAAGCAATTGTTCGCAACTGTTCAATTAAGTCAAGTAGCTGTATTTGACTCAAGCTGAAGGTTGAAAAAACGGGAAAACGTGGTTCCTTTTACCGTTTCTTATTTTCCTCAGTTGTGACCTTGCGTCACGTCTTACAAGTAACGATACATCGGCGTATGCAACATCTCTGAACGCCCTAACCCTCTTGCCATCGAAAAGTTCGACGACCGGTAAAGAACAGTGCAATAAAATGGCGATAGATAGACATTCTTGTTTGCCCACATTTCCGACGCCCCAGTTATACGTATAAGCGTTAGCTGTTATGAAACACCGCCTTGTAGTATACAGGTACACACCAAATATTGTTTTACCTACGTTGTTGAAATCGCAGCCACAAACATTATAACAGCCTACATCGTAAACTTCTAACGAACAACTCATTTAAAAAAAGAACACCAATAAGAACAGTGCTTCAGGTATATTTAGATAGCGTACATGTCGCTTGTCTATTCGCAAACTGAAATGACTATACGGACTGTCTGTACAACAGACTATGGATGTGTTATGCCGAGATATTGCTAGGCCATGGTAGGCACCATGAACCAACTAATTTTCCGTATAGTAATGAGCAAAACGCGGGCACTCTATAGTCTGACGCCAGGTGCGACCAGCGTCTGTCGCCGCGGCTCGACGGCAACCGGCGCGAAATGCGATATGGTGCATTTCGTGCCGATGCGTTACCCAGACAGCACTGCGTCTCTCTCCTTTCGTGACGGAGGGACACTGGACGCGATGAAACATGCATGCATCATAGCAACGCAGCGCGGCGCGTGCCTGCGAGTATATGGCAGGACCGGCGCCTGGCGTGGCAACGCCGGCGTGACGCGACGAAACGAACGCCGGCGAACACGCGCACTACGTCATGTCGACATGTATTGGCGTCTTAACTGTGGCATGTAGTCATGTTCTCACATGACACGCATCTCATGATTATCATGTTCGCACCAGTCACATACCTTCGTCATTCATTGGTGTCATTTAATACCAAATATGGCATATGTGGAGCTAACGAAACAGCCGTGAGCGCATCATGAGCGTAGCATGTAGTCACGCTTTTACATGTCGCGCATGTCATGTTTATCATGTTTGCATCAGTCACATACCTTTGTCAGCCATTCACATACCGTAATATCAAACTTGGTACGCGTGACCCTTGCGAAACGGCCACGAGCGCATCATGAGCCTTGGCATGTAGTCATGTTGTTACATGGCATGCATGTCATGATTTTCATGTTAGGGTCTGTCGTTTGTGTTCGCCATGCAATCATGCCATACCATACCAGTTTTGCAACTTGGCATCTGAACGAAACTACCGCAAGAGCTGCAGGGCCATGAAATGTGAACCATGACATTCATGACCTACATATTACGATTTTCTTGTTATCACTAGTCAAATGTGTTCTTCATACTGTCATGTTATGCCATACCAAGTTTGGTATCGATATCATTATCGAAACGGCCATGAGAGCTAACAGGCGTAGGCGGCTAGATAGATAGATACGCTCAAAGTCACCAAAGTTGGCTAAGAAATGCTACGCATTTAAAACTCAGATATTTTATTGAACGAGCTCCACGAAACAATCATGGATGACTTGGCACCAACTGAAACTCTCCTCCTCTTCAGTTCATTTCGTGGCTACAATTTCGTCTTTGGTCACGGCGAGAATCCAGCTGGAGCAATATGCACATTCGTACTCGTTTTGAATCTCTTGCATAATAATAAATAACACCGCCAGCCATATTGAAGATCACGTGCAAAGAATGAACCAATTACAGACGTGGATGGCAGAAAAAGGATGAGTGAGAGACTGAGGAGGACAGCATCAAAAACTAGAAGTGACACTACCTAGAAAACTTCTTTCATTTAGAGGCTTTAGAATCACAAACACTTGAAGACGCCAGCCAGGCATCGCCGCTGTATTCTAATGTATTTACCCAAGGTTAGATACCTACACAAGGTTAACCCTTGCTGCCAGGAAATTCGGAAGTAAATGGAAGAAAGAACACGACAGGACAGATAAAAAGTGTGCGAGAAAGACGAAGATGAGGGAAGAGAGAGACAGGAAAAGGCGACTGCCGATTTCCCCTGGTTCGTCCGCGCAGGGGTGCCGTCTACGTGAGGCCTGGGCCAAAAGGCTGTGTTGCCATCCTGGGTGGCCTTAATGGTCCGATCACTCAGGATCGGCTCAAAGCCCCGGAATTCCTTTTTCCCCGGACACCACTCTGCCACGCACGGCTAGGTGTGGGAGAGGTCGAACCACCCCTCCCCCTCCTTTAGCTTGGGTCCGTGGTGTCGTTACATACCATACTGACGCCTGCTTACGCAGACGCCCCTGCGGGGTCTGTACGCGCAGTGTGTTGCGACGCCCGTTGATTGTAGCACCAGCCCGCTAATTTAAGCTCCGCTGGATTTGAACAATATTATGGTCCACTTTGAGTTTGCATTAACGAATTTCAACGTAGGAGAACGCCCATACAATTGTTTACGTTATTTTACAGCGAGGGCTATTAAAGCACGAAAGAAAAATTTAGTGTTGCTGTGAACAGTTTTCTGAGCATTTTTGATTGTGTTACAAGGCGATAATGTTTCCCGCTACATACGTAATGACAGCAGCACTCTTTTTAAAATTTTCATGGAACTGGCCCGTAAGACACGACTTCCTTGCGCTAACTGCGACCCAGTGCCTTGAGACCTTCTAATCTATTCATTGCTTTGCGGTAAGCTCGAACTGTTGACGAGAACAGTCTAGTTTACTTTTTAACTACTTTAGCCACCAACTGGAAGGCAGGAATATTTCGTTCCTCATGTATAGATGTGGGCGCGCCTTACCGCATCAGATGAGACAAGTCAACGACCCCCAACTGTTTTTGTAGCTCTCAGTGTACAGTGTGATGCGCACGTATTTTGAATGTTCATTTCGTGGCAACCACAGAGCCCACTAACCAGCTGCCTATTTCCCAGTCTTGTTGCGGCCATCTTCATTGTTTGAACCGTGCGACACTACAAGCACCTGAAATCTGTTGCCGGGTTGATGTGAACTGTGCTATTCTCGTTTCAAAATATGCTGCGAGACGAGTGTTTGCGAGTTTGTGTAGAAATGTACTAATACGTACGCCTCGAAACGTGCCAATTGTTTCACGTCGTAACAATTTATGAATCCTTGATTTTATCATGTAGGTAATGTATTCACTTGCACTATTTTTCTTCTGCCCTGACGATGTTTCCGATTATGTGTTGGTAAATAAATAGCTTCCCACTGTAATAGTTATGACGGCATTATACAATTTTTGTGGAAGTGTTTGCCTTAAAAGTAAACAAAAGTTATACTTTAAAAATTATTGAAGATGTTTTCCCAGTGTATGTTTAAACAGCGCCTTCAAAATTTAAATTGTTGCGAAAATAAATGCTTCTCTGTTTCACGAAAATAAAGAAAGTTTTGTTCATTTGGGTTATTTGTTTAGGATGTTTAGAATTTTTACAGGCGAAACGTTTCAAGGTCATTCCCCAAGCAATAAATTATATACCAAACTGTGCCTCTGATCCGCTCTTCTTATGTTATCTTCTAACACTGTCGTAATACAAAGAAAAGCACACAACAGTCATATCTACAATGTCTTTTAGATTATTATAACAACGGTGCATTGTCAACAACTTCACACCAAAAACTTCTGAAATGCGTTAGTTTCTCATGACCTTGCACTCAGAAAAACGATGTGTACCTTTGGGGTGAGAACTTATCTTATACCTGATGCATTTTCTTTCAGACTGGGTGCTCCTCATGATGGCAACGGTAAAGCAAAAAAGTGTCCTGCAAGTGAGAGACATATAATGGCTCCTTCCCTGGGTGCAGAAACAAAGGCCACATATTCAAAATGTACCAAGTCAGCCATCAATAAATTCTTGAAGTGAGTTGTGTTCTCACTACTTTCTATATACTGTGCCTTGATAAATAGCAGGAAACATATTCTTGGGCCAATCGAACGATGCTATTGCAGTAACGAACCAAATGCGTTGATGCAATGAGTGGCTCTCAGCTGCAGATGCCTAACATTATTTCTATATCAGACTCATTCTCTTGTCACTCTCATGAGGCGTTAGCCGTTAGCTGTACAAATGCGTCTTTTTTTTTCTTTCGCAAGTGGGTCATTCCACACCAAACATCCCAGCCATTTGGGCTACCATCTCAGATGTATCTTTAAAATATTGTGCTAATTCACTGCACTAGAAACAGCCGATTGCTAGAATATTTTGGAAAAGAAAGCTTTTTGTCACGCGGGTGGCTGCTGAACTTTCCAAAATGTCGTCTGGGTGTTGTTTGTGAAAAAAAGTCATTTTAAAAGCAGTGTTTTTTAAAACCAACTATATGGTCTGCATGTTAGGTAAATGCTCTTGTGTGAGCTGTTTAAAGTTCAGTAATATTAGTGCACTTTTTCTGCCACATACGCCTCCAAAGATTTAGCCAAAATGTGTTAGGTTTGAAATTTTTTTTGTTGCAAAGCTGCACTCTGATGAATATCAGAGCACCAAATCCTTACTCCACAAAAAGCGTACTGTGCGGAAAAAGTATTTCCAGGCCTATCAAGGATTTACACTTTACGGGAAAAAATTACGAATTTGACAACACTGTCATCTTTATCAATATTGAGACGCAATTTGCACCATGTGGTGATCCACATAAAAATCACCTATACAGATAAATCGAAAGCAAATATCAAGTTATTTTCATACTGCAAGCTTTATCATTACATAATTTGAAAAAAAGCATTTTTGTATGTTCCTCATTGACGGCTATCTTCCCATTTATACATTTCACATTACGACCGCAGCTAAAACCAAGGCTACGTGTGAATATTCATGGTCTGCCTGCAGAATATAGGACGCTTGCTTGCTTGTTCCTTTCTTTTGTGGCTCTCACCCACTAAGGGGGATTGGCCAAGAAGCCGGTGGTCAATTCAAGTAAATACCTATAGATTTTCTAGATTAGGGGAATATGATTACTGTGTTTTGACTGTGAATTTAATTTGGCGCAATGTAAAAATTGATTGTAATGTAATGTAACTGTGATTGTAATGTAAAATTAATAGGACGCTGCTCAGTCAGTGCGTGTCTCATTCGTCTTTTTCATCGTCTGCTAGCACACAAGCACGTGCACCCGACAAATTAGCTATTTGGCTTGGCAGTATCTTTGGCTACTCGGGCCAGGACATGCTATGACCAAGCTAATTACCTCGAGTCATGGTAAAGCCAAGGTAATTACGCCACATTTTAAAAAAAAACCTTGCTAATGAAGCTATGTAAAAATATCACCTGGCTGACTTAAGCCTGCTAGTCAGCCCTTAATTTGATGATAAGTATCATTCTACGCAGGGTTACGTTTGATAGCTCCATACTGATCATGACCTTGACGATTGAGCCCGGGATATCTGCCGCCGTGGTGGACTAGCGGCTAAGGTAGTTGGTTGCTGACGTGCAGGTCGCGGGATCGAACCCAGGTGGCGGCGGCCCCATTTTTGATGGAGGCGAAAATGCTTGAGGCCTGTACATGTGCTCAGATTTAGGTGTTGTTAAAAAACCTCAGTGGTCGAAATTTCCGGAGCCCTCACTACTGCGTCTCTCTTGATAATATAGAATTTCGGGACGTTAAACCTCACATATAAATCAATCAAATCAATTCGAAGCAGACCAAGCACATAAGTTGACGACACACTTAAGAAATGGCAGCATATCCACGGGGTGAATAATGGAGAGTGGGGCGAAGTATGTTCGTGCGTCCGCACGTCCATCCGTGCGTTCGTCCATGCGTCCATCCATTCATGCAGCCATCCGTGCGTCCGTCCATGCATCTTTCTGTGTGTCCGTTCGTCTATCTAGTCAACACTCGAAGTACCACCATCTCGCATCCTTTCAATATATAATCCGCATATAGAAGCACCGCCATCCCGCCGCGGTGGTCTAGTGGCTAAGGTACTCGGCTGCTGACCCGCAGGTTGTGGGCTCAAATCCCGGCTGCGGCGGCTGCAATTCCGATGGAGGCGGAAATGTTGTAGGCCCGTGTGCTCAGCTTTGGGTGCACGTTAAAAAACCCCAGGTGGTCGAAACTTCCGGAGCCTTCCACTACGGCGTCTCTCATATTCATATGGTGGTTTTGGGACGTTCAACCCCACATATCAATCAATCAATTAGAATCACCACCATCGAACGGACATTCCAAGGACTAAACGGGAGGTGGCACACGCACACTTTCTTGCGGTTTGCGCTTCTTGTCTACTTCACACCTTTAACCACCTCGAGTTCATGGTATTGACCCTTTCCAAAAATGCGCCACCTGACGGTGAGATTTTCGTCAGTTTCTCTTCGCAGAGGAGCGTCGGATAGCTAGCGCCATCATGATGGCATGGAAAGCGAGCCGTAAAATGCGAGAGTGCTGTGATGTTCGTATTTGCAGCTAGTTCTCCGAATCATCCATTGCAATCGCAGCGCTTTTTAGCTGGAACGAGCTCATAGTACTATCCGATAAGCTTTCTGAGCTGCTTGCACTGCACAATGAGCAATGTTTTGTACCCTTCAACGGGTTGGACGAGCAGTTTGGCTTGTTATGACTGGCAATGCATGGATCCGGCCTGCAAGAGACTCATTGCCATGCCCTCTCGACGCGGTTCGCGTCCTGCAGGAACGCCAGAGGTGTCTGTGTGCAACAGAATCGAAAGTTGGGCTAGTTGGATATTCATAATATAACTGTCTGTTCAAGCTCACGAATAAACAGAAAAAGAGAGAGGACAAGCGCTTTCTCGCAGCTAAATGATTTATCAGAAACGATTTGTCAGTGCCACTTTAAGGAGCTTCACCCCTACAACCTGGAAGAAGCTGTAGAATATTACAAGCTTCTCTATGGCTCTAGTCTTGCACAAATAGTTCAAGCTGACCAAAATATTCGATATGCAAGGAAGCTGCTGCTTGAAGCCCACAGCATGAAAAGCTTCACAGTCAGACTGGAACCATGACAGTCACTAACTAGTTGAACTGGGACCTATCTAGAATCAACGAATTTGTAACCAAGTTCACGCGTCAGTCGATTGACAGATGCCCGCAGTGAGCTCAGGTACGCCCACCATTTTTGCTCTTGTCGAGAAGCAGTGCTCACGTCGAGCGGCACAATTAATCTATCAACTCTGTCGCGCAAACTATGCACGCAGGCAAACAGAAGTTAAATGGGTACCATCACGCGGCTATACGATATCTCGCATTCAATTTTACCGCACCCACGACGTATTCACTTACAGCTTCGTTGCCACCTAGAACCGCTGTATTAGGTGTCTAAGGGACCAGAGGAGCGCATAGGTCCGCCATCCTGCTTCGCTAGCAAACACAGCTGTGCGGTGAAGTCGCCCTTTGTTCTTGCAGGCAACACCACAGCCGTGTTTTTTTGTTTTTTTTTGGCGTGTTGCCTAATGACATACTTGACGTAAGTCTTTCACGCATTGTTTGCAGTACTTGAAGGGCGCTTTTCTACCAGACTGCTAACAAAGTGCAACGGAACAGCTGACTAAATAGCGTGGTAAAAAAAAGCGACGTTCTTCAGCGAACATTATCAACTTCCTTTGTATTGCGACTTTCACATTTCGCAAATTTCGGAATTTTTGACCAGATAATGAGCGGAAACATTCAGTATTGACGTTACACTGGTGAAATGCGACATTCATTGAACTTGACGGTACACGAAATTACCCAACTAGTCTGGGTGAATATTACTCAAAGAAGAGTTATGCCTTAGGCTTTTGTAGTGCGTAAAAGCATAACGGTGCAGTTTTTACAAAATAGCGTTGCGTGGCACACAGTTGTTACTGCACAGTTCTAAAATGATTTATTTCACATGTAAACGCAAATTCTTGCACGTTATGTAGCTTACATAAAGTCAGTTTACAGTTCATTTTCAAGTTCAAGTTTCTTGTCTTGCAATAAGTCTCCGGGTATTCCGATATAAATGGATACCCATGATGTGACTAATCTCTCTATAACTTAGACGTCCAATGAACTTCGCTATTTCGCCTAGCGTCACCTTTCTCCATGAGGCACCTCACTCCATTTAGGTTGGCGTTCCAATATATGCCTCGAAGCATACTTTTTTTGCACTTTTGCACGCCGTAAATCAGAAATATGAAAGTCTTCCGCGCAAAAGACACAGGTTCGACTACCAAATGCGACACGTATGCTTTTTTACGTTATTTCAAATTTCATGCTATAGTGGTCAGACACCGGCGGCAGCGAACATCTACGGTGCTGAAATCAGCCCTTGTTAACTCAGAAGCTTTCGCTGTAAAATTCAGTGCATTCAATAACACCCTTTCATCTACGTCAGTGGCGAATAAATATGTTTCCTTTTCATGAGGATAGGCAATCAGGCTCCTTTTGAAAAGGTATAAATGCGCAACAAAGAACAGTGTAGTTCTGTTTTAGCATGTACACTACTAACGAAGCAGCCCTCAGCAGGTAATAAAACTGACAAAACGTCTTTTACCGGTTTAACCAGTCATTGTAACATTCCGATGGCTGTGATGGCAGAACTGCTGACCCGGTGCGCTCATAAAACAGATCCAGAGTCACCGGCACGCATTCATGAACCGCGTTCAGAAAATGCGCGAAGACCAGCCGCATTCGCTTTGAACTTAACTGGCGATGATTCGCGCCAATGCCGCGGCGGCGTCGGTACACTCAAAATTGGCCTGAGCGTCAGTTTCTCCGCAATGCCTGGTTGCTCGTGTTGCCGGTGGTGTTGGAAAACAGTTGCGCTACTCTGATTCCGTAGGGACCATATAGAGTTATTCTATTGGAGCCATGGTGCGAGCACCCCTGGTGGCCGCCTGCTCGTATTTTTGATAAAAGCGAAATTTACATATAATATTTGATA